AAATAACACACTGTCAAAGAAAATAAATATCTCAAGTTCAAATTCAGTGGCTCAAACTGATTAGTCATCTTTTTAAAATTCACCATTAGGAAATTCTCCTTTTGAGTAGAAAAGCACTATCCAAAATTTTAACTAGTATCCAATACTACTCCATTTTCCTTAATGAAGAAACATGGTGATTTTACCAAGTCAAGGAAGGTAGTAGGCTATATTATGGAATGGCAAATTGGTGTCATTCACTCTCTAAGAATTAACTGGCATGGTCTTTTTGTAAGAGTTAATACTTAGTCTCAGCTCTGAGGGGTTCACTAGAAGTTACAATTCAAACAATGAAAAAATTTCGCCTACTCACTGATGACACCTTTATTTCTCCTTCTGAGCTGGACGAAAAACTTTATTCATGATGGTGTGGTGGTACACACCTTTAATCCCAGCACTTAGGCAGAGGCAGACAGATATTTGTGAGTTTGAGACCAGCAGGATACCGAGACCTCAAACAAACAACAACAGTAACAACATGAAAATGTTAAATTTATTGGGGAGGAGGCAGCTCTATTATCAACAACAAGAAAGCAAACACTGGCTATGCTCTGATATACCTGAGAAAAGAACCTTTCCCCATCACTGCTCGTTCTACACAATGCTGAGAAGCAACAGGTCCTATTTCTCTTACTTTAATTACTAAAATGCATGGAGATACTATGTTAAGAGCAACAAGCCTGGTATAGAAGGACCAAATACTACATGATTTATGTGGAATCTAAACTAGTCCAAGTTGTAGAAGCAAAAGTAGAATGGTGGCTACCAAGCATTTTGGGAGTGGAGAGAAGGTTAGGGAGTCACTGATCCAAAGGCTTAAAATTTCATTTAGGCAGGAAGAATAAGTTCAGGAAATTTACTCACTGTAGTAACTAAAATGTTTTGTATACTTGAAAATTTCTAAGAGAGTAGATTTTAAGTGTTCTCATCACAAAAAGTATGAGAAACAGTTGGATACATGAATAGCCTGATTTAAGTTATTCCATAAGGCACTGTATTGATTTAGGCCATAAATACAGTTTGTCAATTTAAAGTAAATAAAAAATTATGAATATGTTAACTTTACTAAATTGGATCAAAGCTTTTCAATAGTCCAGGAAATACTTCATGTTGGTCACTGGTCTCCATAGGGATTACAAATAAATTACGAATAAAAATCCTAAGGTGTTTCTTCTTTGATTATCCCCACCTCTGAACTTCTACCTGGTAAACACGCCTTCCACTGGGTGATGAAATTAAAGTGATGGATTGTCGATCAACTAAGTCCAAGGCCTGGATGGCTGATGAACCAAACACAAACTTCAGCCTAGAAAATACAAAGGCTTTGGATTAGAAGGGCTGATACTGAGTCACCTCAGTAACTTGACCGAAAGGATTACCACCCTCAGTATTTTTGTTTGTGTGGTGCTAGAAATTGAACCCAAGGCCATGCATGTTAGGCAAGCACTCTACCACTGAGCTCTACGCGGAGTCCCTGCATTCTCTGTGTGTGTGTGTGCAATCAAGTGACACTTATTTGTAGGTAGTTTTCATTTTTTTTTTGTTGCTATTGAGAATAGTTATATTTTTTATTTTGTGATGTAAAGGAGAATGATATTTAATTTTTGCATTTCTTGGATAACTAGTTACTCTATTTTATTCCCTTTCTTAAGTAGTTATATCACCTGTAAATGATAATTGGCTTTCATTGAAGATAAATACTTTCATTGAAGATAAATACTTTTTTTTTTTTAGATAAGCTCTCACTATGTAGTCCTGGCTGGCCTGGAACCCACTATGTAGACCAGTATATATAACTGGTAAGGATTTTTTGGGTCCCCCCTCCCAATATGTCAATGTAACAGCTACAATTTCTAAAAACATGTTAAGAGTAGAAAATAGCACAGTATGAGAATACCTTATACTATTTGGTATGGTGTTGGCTGTCCATTTGTGAGATTTTTTTTTTTTTTTTTTTTCTTTTTGGAAAAGGGTGTCCTTTTAGCCCCAGCTGTCCTGGAACTCACTATGTAGACCAGGCTGGCCTCAAACTCACAGAGATCCACCTGCCTCTGCCTCCCGAGTGCTGGGATTAAAGGCGTGCACCACCAAGTCCGGCTTCTTCCACAAGTATGCCATATGTATACAGGTACCTGAGGTGCTGGATTCCCTGGAGCTGGAGTTATAGGTAGTTGTGAGCTGTCTGATGTGGATGCTGGGAACAGAACTCAAGTGCTCTGAAAAAGCATCAAGGGATCTGAACCACCGAGTTATCTGTGATTCCAGTCCAATTCCTAGTTTTAAAATCTACTAATTTTCTTTTTTTTTTAATCAAACACAAGGGGCTGGAGAGATGGTTCAGCAGTTAAGAACACTGAGTGTTCTTGCAGAAGACCCGGGTTCGAATCCCAGCACCTACATGGCAGCTAACAACTGTCTTGTCGCTCCAGTTCCAGGGGATGCAACAGCTTCTTCTGTCCTCCTCAGGCATTGCATGACATGGGTGGACTTACCTACATGCAGGCAATATACGCATACACATAAAATAAAAATAATAAAATATTTTAAAAAATCAAACACAAGAGTATGTACTTACGATAACAGAAGCTCATCTGGAACTGTAAGATGGTAATGGAAAAAAAGTTAATCATGTTAAACTAGTGAATACAGACATAAAAATCTTATAAAGACCATAGCCACAAACACTCCTATATAAGATGGTAAACTGAATTTAAATACCTAATTTTACTCCTTCCCAAATCCCAATGAAACAATAATAAAATATTTTTTTTGGAAAAAAAATCAATAACTCCCAAGGCTGAGAAAAACAGCTAAAATATACTGGAAGCTGACACAAAAATGGAAAATAATTTATGAGACTCCAACAAGCTGAATCTTAAGTTAGCAACAGGGAGAACCAAGCATAAACCTGACACATATTCTAGAACCCACTACTCTGCACACCCCCTCAGAAGACACCTTGGAAATTTGTGGCACCAGATAGCTCTGAATATTGGGGTCAAGCAAGAACACTAAGAAAGAGTTCTTGAAAGTAAGCTTGAAGTATTAGGGTCCAAGTTCCTATTCTTAGCTGTGAATGATTGCTGCTCCCCCACTCTAGCAAAAGACTGTTTATTTTCTAGAAAGGCTCAAATATAGGATTTTTGGACTAGAAGCACTCCCCCCGCCCCCCCCAAAAAACAAAAACCAACAACAACAACAAAAAAAACAAAGGCACTTGCTGCTCTTTTTAGCATGGCTCTTACAACATAACAATCAGGCCTTCAACTTTTTTTAACTTCTACCACTAAGCTATACTTCCAGATCTTCACCCTCTGGGCAGGAGACAAGACCTTTGCACTGGGAAACTGACACTAAGACAACAGGAAGTAATGCTGGAATGTTTCTCGGAGTAGCTTTGTGAGAACTACAGTGACATTCACCATCAGACAACAAAATATAGAAAAAAAGAAGGCTAATCTGAGGAAAAACTTAAGGTCAGAAGGAAATTTCAAATACCCACTGTTAATATCAGAGATAAAACAAGCTAATGTAATCAGAAAACAGGCATGAAATATAAAGGAATTTTCTGGATGTTGGGTGTGGTGGCACATGCCTTTAATCCTGGTATTCCAGAGGCTCTAGAGGCAGGCAGATCTCTGAGATCCAGGCCAGCTGGGGCTAAAGAGAGAACCTGCCTCAAAAAAAAAAAAAAAAAAAAAAAAAAAAAAAAAAAAATCAAACAAAACTGTGTAGGATTATCTGGAAGGTACAGTTGAAGGAAGTTCCTAACAAGTGGGGAAAAAAAGACACCTAAGAGATAAGTCACTCAGAGGGACAATAAAGGACATTCTATAAATGACATGAATACTACCAAGAAAAAACAGAAACATTCTTCATGTGTGCACATGGCGGAGTGAAAAACAAAAATGGGACTGGAGAGATGGCTCAGTGGTTAAAAACACTTGATGTTCTTGCAGACTACTGGAGTACGGTTTACAGCACCCACATTGGGCAGCTGACAATTGCCTGTAAGTCAGGCATTGTGGAATCATTTGATCTCTTCTGGTTTCTGGGGTCACATACACGTACACACACAAAAAAAACCTTTTTAGAAGATTCAGAACACTGGTCATTAAGAAGATACAACTGGCTCTCTATATCCATGGAATCAAGAAAAAAAAAAAAACCCAAACCTAACTACATCTGTACTAAACATGTACAGACTTTTATCATTAGTCCCTAAGCAACACAGGAAAACATCTACTTGCACACCAATGACCCTGTATCAGGTCAGGTATTGTGAGCAATCTAGAGACAATTAAAAGTGTATTAAAGTATAGAGCAAGATGTGCATAGGTTTTATGTCATTTTATGTAAGACACCTGAGCATCAGGGCATTCACAAGGTCCCCTTCAATCCATGGAATCCAAGGAACTGCAATTCAAACCTCCAGATAAAATAAAGGACACATACAAAAATCAGGAGCAATGCCAGAAGCAAAAGATTATGGAATAAGGCTTGCAGATGTCTGAAGAAATATTATTTCCAACATGTAATTTAGTAACTAGTCAATCTATCAATTAAGTGTGAGAGTTAAAACACAAAAAACAAACCTTTCCAGACATGCAAAGCCTCAACAGTACATTTCAAGACTCCTTCTTCAAGAAGTTACTAAAAGTATGTACTTCATAAACTAAGGGAAAAAAAAGCAAATAAATAAAAGCAAAGAAAAATTTAGGATATACTAAACATAAGACCCAAAACAGATGAAAAGAATGCTCATGACAGTAACAGTGGAGGAAGATTGAAGAAGCCAGCTCAGCAATCAGCCAGTCTGTATTAGACACATCAGAAGGTTTCTGAGAGATTTCTGTAGGAAAATGTAACTGACAAAACACCTTAAGCACCTGAATTTTGTTTTTTGAGACAGTCTTCCTGTAGCACCAGCTGTCCTGGAACTCACTAAATAGACCAGGTTGTCCTCAGTCTCAAGAGATCCACCTGCCTCTGCTTCCTGAGTGCTGGGAAGCACACCTGGCTTCACTGGACACCCCACCCCCACCCCCCACCCCCGCCCAGGGAGCTGAGGACTGAACCCAGGGCCTCACTGAGCTAAATCCCCAACCCCCTACTGGAACATTTTGAGTGGAGATTTGTAAGTGGCAAAGTTTGAGGTTGAATTATGCATAAACATGTAGAAAAGAAAACAATCAAAGCCAAGATGGTTATAGTTCCAGGGAAATGAAACTACATGGGAAAAGAAAGAAATCAAAGCTTCCTACATGGCTTAGCTATGGTTACTTCATACATCATCATACAAGTATAAACTTGAAATTTTAATCTAGAGAATGTTTTTCTACTGGAGAAAGGGGATTAGGAAGGACTACCCAGAATGAAGATTTTGAAACAGAAAACAAGTTCTGTTAAAAATAAACATGAATCAGTGGTCCCAACTGAGTTATGAGTATCTAGGGCACTTTTTAAGGGTCCCCTTCAAATTATCAGCATATGGATTAATCATGCTATTCTGACAGCGAGCTCAGTTCTGACAACAGTTGTGTAGAGTTGGCAGCATTCCAAAAATCTCTGACCATCGATGTTCCAGCTCAAGAAACATGAACTCAACAGACAACCCCCTCCTCCCAGTTTTTTGGAATCAAAACGTTTGAATAGTTGGCTGGCCAAATCTTTTACACATATACAGTTAAGCCTCAATTACTTTTGACTGAAATGAGAACAAAAGTTTGCTAACTTTTCTCATTCCTTTAAATCTAGTGACTCACACCCTTTCACACTGCACGTTTAAAACATTTTTAATTTTTATGTGTATGTGTGTATTGCCTGCATGTAAGTAAGTGCACCTGTGTGGTGCAATGCCTGCCCAGAGGACAGAAGAGGCCATCGGATCCCCTGGAACTGGAGTTAGGGACAGTTGTTAGCTGCCATGTGGGTGCTAGGATTCGAACCCGGGTCTTCTACAAGAACAGTATTCTTAACCACTGAGCCATCTCTTCAGCCCTACACTGCACTTTTAAAAATGAGTGTGAAATAGCAGTGTTAAGATGTAAGTTGGGGGCTGGAGAGATGGCTCTGTGGTTGAGAGCACTGAATGCTCTTCTAGACGGGCCGGGTTCAGCTACGAACCCTCAACTCCAGTTCCAGAGGAATCGGAAGCTCTCTTTAGATCTCCGGGGCATTGCCCGGCATGGGTGCACTCACATACACGCAGGCAATACATGCATACACTTAAAATAACAAACATTAAAAAAAAAAGATGTAAGTTGGCTACTGTTTACAGAGTGGCTATTTTTGGAAGAGTCGTTCTAATTAGTGGAAACCCCTCTCCCAGTATTTTCAGACAAGTCTCTTGTAGTCCAAGCTGGCCTAGCACTGTGCAGCTGAGGTTGACCTTCTTGTTTCAACCTCTTAAAGCTTGGGTCAGCACGTCTGGCTTTATGTGGTGGTGGGGATCCTACCCACGACAGCTTTGTGCATGCTAGGCAAGCACTCTACCGACCTACATTTTCAGCTCATTAATCCATTTTTTTTTTTTTTGGCTTTTTGAGACAGGGTCTCCCTGTAGCCCCAGCTAGCCTGGAACTCACTATGTAGACCAGGTTGGTTTTGATTTCACAGTCACCTGCTTCTGCCTCCCGAGTGCTGGAATTTAAGGTGTGCGCCACTAAGCCCGGAGAGTCCCTAAATTTTGGTGGAAGTATCCTCTCAAGAGTGACAAGGATGCTAAGATCGTCCTTAAGTCAATCATTATGGTGCAGACAGACCCATCGCCCCCTCTGCTGGCCAGAGGGAAAAAGGAACTTTACACTCCAGATTCGATCATTTAATTACACACTGCTTTTAGTTTGTTTCTGAACAAAGCAAATGAGAGTATTAATTTTAAGTTTGCATCAGGATTTGAGGATTTTTTTTTTTTTTGAGCCTAGGTCTCCCTATAGCTCCAGCTGGTCTAAAACTCGCTGTATAGACCCGGCTGGCCTGGATTTCACAGTGATGCACCTGTCCTTGCCTCCCCGGTGCGGGGATTAGAGACGTGCGCCACCATGCCCGGCTTGAAAAGGGTATTTTTAATAACTTAAAAAGGCTAGGCGCTGCCGTTCCGCCTCCCGGGCCCTTGAACACTTGCAGGCGTATCCAAGGGCTCTTCAAGCACTCGGTTCTTCCCGGCCGGCTCGCGCTGGGAAGGCCCCCGCCACAGCGCTGTTCCTTAAATAAATGCCGGATGGATTTGACTTCCATTCCCCCAAATTTCTGTATTTAGTTAAAGCAACCTACGAACACGGAGTTTAGAGACAGAGCCCCAGAGCGTGAAAACAACGCAGGGGCGCGGCCTCCGCCACCCGCCCGGGCGCCCCGCAGGCCCGTACTTCGCGCGCTGTCCCGCACCGCAGCCGCCATCTCGCTCAAGAGCTCCTCCACGACCTCCGGCAGCGCGACCGCCATAGCCCCACAGGCGGCTTTCTACTCGGCAACAGTCAAGACCCCAACGCTCAGCCCCGACGGGGGGTTCCCGCCTATGCTGGGGGCGTGGCAACGCGGCGTGACGTCGGCGTGCGTCATCGCGCATGCGGACATTCGGCATGCCGCCTCTTGCGTCACGAGCCTACCCAGCCGGCAAGTGGTCGGCGTGGAGGGCGGGGCGTCCGAGGCCGGGTTTGGTCCTGAGGACACAGAGGACGTGGCGGAATGTACCGGCTGCTGAACTGGGGTCTGGGCCGAGGCCTGTGGGCTGCGGGCCGGCGGTGCCGGGGCTGCGCCGGACGCTTGCTACCGGAGCCGGCGGGCGGCGCGGGGTCCGGCGCGGAGGAGCTGCAGTCTCGAGGGCGGCC